GTTTGCTTCCAGGTCCAATTCAAGGTGTTGGTTATCACCTTTAAAGCCCTACATGGCATGGCACCCGGTTGCCTGAGGGACCATCTCACCCCCATTATATTGACCCATGCCAACTGGTCAAGCAAAGAGGGTATGCTGTGGACCCCATCAATGAAAAAATGTCGACTGGCGGGGCCCAGAAGGAGAGCCTTCTCTGCCATGGCCCCTGCCCTCTGGAATACCCTCCCCCAGAGGCGAGGCAGGCCCCAAATCTCTTGTCCTTCTGGAAAGGAGCCAAAACCTGGCTCTGCCAACTGGCATGGGGCGAAAAAAGGGGCAACCAACCCTGGGGGTGGCTAGCGCCTTGAAGATGCTCCCATACTTTAACATCTTACTGAACACCAGCATCTTGGAAGATATTATTATTTGTGTATGTGTCTGATTTTATTTTATTTTTACTGTATTTTATATTGTTTTATTGTATTTTAATTAATATGTACAGTATTGTTGTTTTATTGTGAGCCGCCCAGAGTCACTTTTTCATGAGATGGGCGGTATCTAAATCTTAAATAAATAAATACAGTATAAATATAAAAAAAATCGAAGTTCCCATAGAAAGCTCTTCCTGGTGGTGGCTTATCAACGCCAGCGTGAAAATTATAAGAAGTCTCAAAGTTAGGATAGACGAGAGACGCTTTAGCTTGGTATTTTTGAAGCGCCTTAGAGAGGGAGGGCTCTTTGACACCTTTGAGAATGAGAAAACCTCTATTCAGAAGCCGACAGAAACAACGAGAATAGCTTTCTTCTCTTCTGGATTTTTTCCAGGCAAAAGCATGACGATTGTTGTTTGTACTAAAAAAAGCTACCAGGGAAGCGAATCCCACTAGATTCATCTGGGCTTTCTTCTTCTTATTCGAATATGAATCTTGAGGGATGCAGTGGCGCAGTGGTTTAATGACGCTGGACGTTACCGGCCAGAAATGGTCGACACTTCAGCGGTTTGAGCCCAAGCTCGGCGGGGTCGGCTCCCGTCTTGCGCCTTTAGCTCCTGCATAAATATAAAATAAAATAATAAAAAAATTAAAGCTCGAAAGCAAAGTAGATAAATAGGGCGAAGTAGATACATAGGTCGGCTCGGCTCGGAATCGGGTGCCGGTTGCTGGACGAAGAGACTCGGTTTCCTGCGACCGCCAGCTAGGAAGGAGGCAATGGCAAACGACTTCCGAAAAAACCTTGCCGGGAAAACTGCAGGGACTCGACTCGTCCGGGTAGTCTCCTGGACCAGTCCCTTGATTGAAAGCGGATTAAAAAAAAAAAAACCCACTCGGTTTCCGATTGGTCCAGTGTCCATCTCTCTCAGCCAATCAATCGGCGTTTCCTACAGTGCCTTGCGTGGAAGGCGAAGGCAAAGACGTGTCAGGTTTGCGGCGGCTCTGCAGAGACGCGCAAGATGGCGACTCCCTCAGGTTCTGGTGAGGCCGACGAGCTTTTCGACGTGAGGAACAACTTCTACATCGGGGCCTCGCAGGCGGCCATCAACGAGGCGCAGCGAGTCAAGGTGAGGCGAGGGCCGGGGCAAATTGAGGGGTACATTCTGAAAAATGAACATAGGAAGGCAGCACCGGTTGAATCACTGCCTGATTCAGTGATCTGATCCTTGCCCATTTGGATATCCCCTAGCCTTTTTTAGTGCTTTTTTTTCCTAGCCTCTTTTTCTTCGTGTTCCCTAACGGTGTTAGACTACAGGTCCCATCATTCTCAGCCACCTGATGTCACTTCTTCAGTGAAAGGCCTCAGGTTCAGCGGGGGGCAATAAAATTGCAATTCTGGAATTATTTTTATGCTGGGTCAAAGTGCTGATTTTATAGAGGCTGGGTTATATATGAAAATGTTAATCCAAGAGATGCTGCTTTCTCCATATCTGTTTAGGGGAAGCAGCACTGGTTGAATCACTGCCAGTCACAAGTTTTTTTCTCTCTCTCTTTTCCATTTGGATATTCTCTAGCAGCCTTTCCTAACTCCGTTTTCACCAGAAATGTAAGATGTCCATTCCCATCATCCACAGTGAAATTATTTGTAGTCCAGTGCGTTTGGAGGCTCCCAGGCTTGGGTAGACAGGCAGGAAGATTGCAAGAAAGCACCAAGTGGTGCTTCCTGGGGCAAAGCCCCGGTTCTGTGCAGGTTGAATTTAGTCACTGCAAGACTAAGAAAGACATTCATGAAAGTGTTAACTCAGCATGTAGCTGCGGCAGAAGAAAAATAAATACATTTCATGCTAGGCAGCATTAAGGCAAAAGACATTACCAAAGATACCAGTATTGTAATCTGTGGAATCAAAACGCAGGACACAAATGCAGAATAATCAAGGCTTCACTGCAGTGTTTATTGAGCAG